CACTGAGGGCTGGGAGCAGTCGGGGTTCATTCGAGGCACAGGGAGCAGCTGCTGCAGAAGCCTTGAGGTGGGAAAGAGAAGGCAGGTGTAGGGTGAGGAAGGAGGGGGATGGGAGGGTGGGGCAGAGTTAGCAGGGCAGGCGGAGGCTGGAGCCCGCTGGGTCCTCCAGGTCATGCTGGAGAATCTGCATTTTTTCCTAAAGGCAATGAGCACCAGTGACACTTTCAGTGGCTTAGTACATGGTCAGGTGTGCCCTTTAGAAGCGCACTCTGGTGGCTTGCTGTGTGGCAGGGACTGGCGTGGGGTGAGATGGGACCACGTGAGCGAGTTCAACACATCAAGCCTGACACTGTGAGCTCCTGAACCAAGGCAGGGGCAGGGAGAGAGTCCGGACTCCTTAGGATGGAGAATTCCTGGCACTTGGTGTTTACTGTGGGAGTGAGTCTAGGGAGAGTGCCCTACTCCACTGTGAGCCCTTTGAAGACAAGGATTAAGTTTGATTTTTCTCTGTATCCACAAGACCCAGCATGGGCTTCACACCGAGAGCCAAAATGTTTGCGGCACGCACAAATGGCAGTGAGACTTGAGTGTGGGCTTGTGTGTGTACAGTCTGCTTCTGACCTTCATCCCACCGTCGTCGAGCAGAGGGCAGGGACCTGGTACTTTCTTGTCCCAATTAAGGTGTCATTACTGAGCTGCTTCAATCTCATTTCAGTGCTAGAAATATCTGGGGGCTGGGCTGGGGAGATGGGCACCCCACACACTTACCCCTGGGGTCCCACACCTGCCGGGCTGGGCCTGGTCTGGAACCGTGGGGTAGCCCTGCTGGCCCTTGCATAGGTGCAAGGATCGTGGGCTGAGTTGCTGGCACCACGTGTGTGCATGACGTCCCTGTGTCCCTGTGTCTGGGGGGGGGGGGGCGTGTTGCTTTTCGAGTACACTTACTCCCCTACACTCACGTTTGTGTTTTTCTGATTGGCCCAGAGGGCTGAATGCGCTACGGCAACAGGCAGGCAGGCTTTGTGGTGAAGACAGCGCAGCTGCAGAGAAAGCCAGAGAGCCTTTCAGTTGCTGCCTTGCTGGGTGGTGATGGTGAGATTGTTTCCTCATCTGTAAACCGGGCACACTCATGGCTTTAGGGCTACTGTGAACAGGTATCCACCAGGCCAACCAGAAATGTGTCCTGCGAATGGGACCAGGAGAGGGACTTCCTCTTGTCTCCAGGGAAAGGCACCCACTGGGTGGATAACAGGTGCTAATGGGCACCCCCAGCTTCCGGAGCCTCTGCCCACATCAGTGCTGAGGTTCCAGCTGAAGGGATCTGTGTCTCTTCTGTTTTACAGGAATCAGGAAGAGTCTGGGGTCTACATTTTGATCCCTTCTGGTTGGGGCGGGGTGGGGGGGGCGGTAAGGGGAGTGCTGGGGTTGGTTTGGTCAAGTCCACCACTGAGAAGCTGGGGCTGGAAGCTCTATTTCGGGGGGCTGGGAGTGAGGGTGGGAAAAGCCAGTGTGGGGTGACTCCATGCCAAAGCAGGGCAAGAACCCCAAGGGTCAATCTCGAATTCCAATTCGAGACTTCAAATTCGAAGTCCAGGGCCTCTGGGCCTTCAGTGTGTGGGCTGTAGGGTCAGAAGTGAGGAGGTCAGGGCTGAGCAAGCAGGGCTCAGGCCAGCGTGTGGACGGGTGCTTACAACTGCCAGTCAGCATAGGAGCGTGGCTGTGCCCCTCCGATTTCAAGAGGCCTTGGGATTCCAGGCCAGAGCTACCACAGACGCAGTCAGAGCAGTATAGAAGCAGCCAGAGGATAGCACATCATGTTAGGATGGGCCTGGGCTCCCAGAGCACCCTGAGAGCCCTTCCTATTAGAGCATCTTCACAGTGTAAGCTGAGCATCCTATCCTATTAGAGCATCTTCACAGTGTAAGGTACCATCTTTATCTGTGTTAATCTTCCCTGGGGGCCGGGGACTGTGACATCCAGCTTCCTGGGCCTATGACCCCGCGCCGGGCCTGGACTGGTGCACAGTCAGTCCTCAGGACATGAAATGTGGAATTGACAAGCTACACCGGTAAGTTCAGCTCAATTAGTATCTCCTGAGCACATACTATGTGCTTTGTCCCTGACTTATCCCTGTCATTCGGGTGGTTCCCAGCCAAGACTTGGTTTCTATTTCTTGAGAAACCATCTCTGGCCCCTGCAGATGGAAGCTGCCTGCTTAGGCCTGGATAAAAATGACATCCTGCTAAAACCAAGTCTGCACTAGATGTTGGCCAGTCCAAACTGATAGCCTCTTTGAGGCCTCCTAACATGGGTTCTCTGCCACATGCCCGGCAGGTTTTGAATCAAGGTTTCCTGCGGTTTACAAGGCAAGCCCAGTCACAGAATGGCCTGGAGCTGGGCCTCTCATGAGGGTGCTCTGTGGGTGCTATGGGGGCTCCCCCTCAAGGAGAAACATGGAGCAGCTGCGGAGGCCATCAATTTTACTCAAAGGTTTAGAAAAGAAAAAGGTAGAAGTTTTTATAGACACGTGCAGACCAAAGGAACAGGATCTACTTTTCCATACGAGCCAAACTCTCGGTCTGGAGTCAAATGGAACATCTCTATAAGTGTACGAAACAAAGCACACGTCTTTAACAGAAATTTGCACCTGAGCTGGGCAGCACCAGACCATCCCCTACTATTCCCAAGCCTCTTCTGTTCTCTTGTGCCAGGAGGGCTACTCTTGTGACCACATTTGAGGATCTCTGACTGTTGGTGTTCTGGGGAAACGGCTCAGACCACATGTGCACATGGTCAAGGGGTTTTGCACTCCTGTCCCTCCCATAATCCACTGCTAGCAAGATTCAACACCCGAGCCAAGAGGTGAATGATCTGGAATCAACGTTAAGATCTCATTTTCAGGAATTCTTAGACATTAGGTGAATTCTAGGTCTGACTCTGCCACTGAATCAGAAACAGGTGTAATTTCTTCCCAATCAGCTCTTCAGTTTCCCTATCTGTAAAATGGGAGTGGGCTGTACAATCTCTCTGAGGTTCCTTTCAGCTTCAACATTTTACGTCAGACCTCTATTCCTTGTCCAGGTGGGTATAATTCAGATTCAATTAACATTTATCATGTCAAACTAAAATGGATTGTGAGCATACTTCCATACACATTATTTGTGTTCTCAAAACCCCAGAAAGATAGGTGTTATTACCTCCATTTTGTTTACAAAACAGAGGCTCAGAGAAGTTTAGTGTGTTAACTGAGGTCACACAGACAGGAAGTTGCAGAGCTGTGATTCAGTCTCAGGCCTGTTTCTGGCTTTGCGTCCAAGGGGCTGAGAGCACACACTGTGTGCCCAACAACAACTCAGCTTCCTTCAGCCCTCTCTCCCTGCCTGCCCGGGAGCTCAGCTCTGTGCTCTAGGGTAGGGGGCCGAGGATGGGCGCCAGTTGGGGCTATAGGCCACTGGTAGTACAGGTGGACTTTGGCCAACAAGTGTTGATAATGTTCTGGAAGGCTGGCAAAGGGCAGGTTATCAAGGGCTGAGAGAGCATCTCTGGCCTAGCCTGGGTCTGGGTCTCCCAGGTGTCTTCCAGGCCCCATTTATGCCTTTAGCTTAAGAAGCTGCCTGCTCTTTGCTTTGCTTTGCTTTGCCATCTGGGAGCCCCTACCTGCCATACGGCTTGCCATCCCCATATACCCACCCTCAAATATTCCTGTCCACCTTTCTCAGCCTTCGAAATCATCTCACAGTACCTCTGGGCTGAGGGCAGGGAAGGAAGAGATGTGCTGCGGGGACTGAGCTCAGATCTGTCTCGACCATTTAGGAGGGCGACTTCAAGGATGCTTTTATTTCAGCCAATTCAATCACCACCAGTCTGCCTGCAATAATGGCTTTTGAGCCCTCAGTTATCTTCTCAGAACCTTAAGGTGGCCTCAACTCCTGGCATGACACTTGGCAAGTAAATTTCTCTCTTTTGGCCTCAGTGACCTCATCTAGGCAATAACCAGCTGGTTGGGTCCCCATGGATCGCAGGTCCTCCCAGCGGTGACATTTTAGCATCCACTATCTTTGACTTTACCTTCTCAGAGGAGGGGGACAGACTAGATGCCTTTGGAGAGTGCATCAAGCTTAAAAATTGCACTCCCGCTGTCTGGTGCTCTCACTCGCCGCCCGCAGGTGCTAATCCATCCCTCCACACCAAAGGCACACCCGCGCCCCGCCCAGGCCCCCGGTAGATCCAAGCCTGGCCTTTTAGCCTCGCAACTCCGGAAACGCTAGAGCAGCGCTAGAGCCGCGACTGCGGCGGTGGCGGAGGCGCAGGGGGCGGAGGAGGAGAGATGCGCCCACTTGTCCCGCGGCCTCCGCAGCGGCCCTGGCGCCAGCCCCGGCGCGTCAGAAAGGTCCCTGGAACCCTTCGGTTTGTTGCTTGCGCCCGGGGCCGGCTGGGAGTGCGCCACCGGTCGATGGCACCTAACCGACCCCTGCGGCCTCGCAGCCTCCCAACTTGGCAGAGAGCGCGCAGGCTCCTCTTCGCTCCCAGCCGCGGTGAGGTAGGGGCCGCGGCGCTCGCACGCCTCCGTCTCGCCTTTCCCGTGCCTAAGCGCGGGGAATTACACCTCCCCGGTCCGGGGCTCTCCCGGGTGGGAGTGGAGGTGGGAGCACCATTTCTGGCTGGATGTGGGTCTACATTCATTGCTTACGTCTCCCGCGGGAGCCCATCTCTCTCCGCGCCTCATCCCCCTCCGCGTCTCCGCGTCTCGCCCGCTCTGCGCCCGCCTCCCACCGAGCTCGCCGGGTGAAGGGCAGCCGCAGCCCACACCCGCTCCCTGTCCGCAGTCCCTACCCCCTCTGGCCACCGCGGGGTCACCGCCCGCTTAGGCCAACCCTCCCTTCTCGCCGAGGGCGCCGAGTAGAGGAACTAAAGTTCGGGCGCCTTCGGCCGGCGGAAGGGCCTGCGCCCCGAGAGCCGCGGCCCGGGCGCTGGGAGGTCAGACGCGGCGCTGGCCTCACCTGTTTCTCCAGAGGCTCCTTGGCCGAGAGCGTAGGCTTGGGGGAGGGCGCGCGGTCGCAGACGCAGCCTTCCAGCAGGTAGAGCCCCGAGGGCCGCGAGCTCGAGTCGCTCTCGAAGTAGAAGAGCAGGTTCTGCAGCAGCGCGAACCACTTGGTTTGCCATTTTGTGTTGTCCGAACTCCGCTTGCTCAGGTAGCCCTTGCGCGTGCCGTCCTTGCGCGCCAGCAGTCCCAGGGACGCGACGTGGCCATCGTTCAGCCGGATCCCCTTCTGCATGGTGCTCGGAGGCCAGCTAGACTCCACGCGCTTACATTTTCTCCGCGCGGCACCCGGCAGCCCCTGTCCGTGCGCGCTGCCTCTCTCAGGCGCTCGCTCGCTCCTTCTCGCTCTCCCCTCCCCCCAAATTTCTACAGTCCGGGATCTGGCGCCGAGCCGCGGCTGCTGGAATCCAGATGTACCATTCCCCTCCAGAACCTCTTCCCCGCTTCGCAGAGCCCCCGGGCCCTGGAGATGCCTCCCGACCCTCTCTTGGCGCCGGGCAAACTGAGGGACTGGCGAGCTGCGCGCTGGCGAGGGGCAGGCGGAGTCATGTGACGCTGATCCCTCGAAGAGCCCGCTTTAGCAGCGCGGACAGGGACACACGCACGCAGCCCGCCGAGGCGCAGAGCCGCGCGCAGGCTGCACCTTGGCGCCTCCTCCCCCTCCCCGGACACACAGACGCACACGCATAAACAAATCCTGTCCTCCCTCCCCTGATCTCCTCTTCTCCCCTTCGGGTGTTAAAAAGCAAATCAGATCAATTTTCGTTTAACCCAGTGGAACACCGGAGGCTCGCCATCCCGGGAGTTTGCTTCTTTGCGCCCCGCCGCGGCGCACTGTAGACCTGGGGTTAAGTCCCATTTGTCATTTTCTCCTCCAAAGGCTTCCTCCTGGTACTTTATTTTTCTAATCCGTGGTGGATGGAGGAAGGTGGATGGCGAAACAGAGCTGAAAGCGCTTTCAGTTCTAATATTTGCGTAATCGGCCGGGTTACATTCATTTCAGCATCCAGCCCCACTTCTGGTGGCTTCCCCAGCGACCTGAGGACAATACAGACGGAGATGTGGAGGGGGAGGTGAGCGTTTATTTTATTTTATTTTGAGTGTTGCCATAATTACGGGCGCCACCCCCTGCGCCCTGAGGTCTGGCCGGCGAGCCGCTGCTGGGAGTTTTCTGCAAATACCCTCCAAAGCCTGAAGGCGGGCTTCAAACGCAGGCGCCAGGGACCATGGGAGCCTTCAAATAGCTGCGCTGGCGCAATGATACCTTAATGATAGATTTTCCGTTCTTATTTTTAGCTCCCATTCGCCTACACAGTTACACGGCATTTATCCGAGAACGTCACAGCGCCCGCCTGCTGCACCGGGAGGGCGCGCGGGCCGCCGGGCAGCCGGGGCGCTGGAACGGGGAGCGCGCACCGCCGTCTGCCGCAGAAGGCAGCGGCCTCGCTCGGGCCGGGAGCGGCGCCCAGCCCGGCCTGGCCTGTTTGCAGCGGGGATAGGCGGCCGCGTAGCCCTCAAGAGGAAGGAAGAAAGGACACCATTTTTCAGAACCTGCGGGCCCCCGCTCCTCCCCCACGGGCGACATGCACCCACCCTGGTCTGGAGCGAGGGAAGGGCCTGGGAATCAGGTAGCCCTGGGAAGGCCCAGGGAAGTCCACGGAGAGACACCCGGCTGTGGCTGAATTGGACCTGCCCCAGTCCTGGGCACGATGACGCAAGCCTGCCTTTTTTAGGTGGGGACAGTTCCGAGGGAGAGATTGACCGTGTTAACCTTACTCTTCCCTCTCGGTTCCCACGCTCCGGGCTTGGGAGCTGTCTAAGGACGCGGTGAGGCTGATTTTTCTTCCCGAATAATGAAAGCAAAGAAGGGAGATGGCTAAGCTTCTTTATTTAGTCTCGATTTTCCCAAGAAGGTCCCTATACTGTGACCACCTTTACTTCTCTAGGGGCAGGCGGAGTCATGTGACGCTGATCCCTCGAAGAGCCCGCTTTAGCAGCGCGGACAGGGACACACGCACGCAGCCCGCCGAGGCGCAGAGCCGCGCGCAGGCTGCACCTTGGCGCCTCCTCCCCCTCCCCGGACACACAGACGCACACGCATAAACAAATCCTGTCCTCCCTCCCCTGATCTCCTCTTCTCCCCTTCGGGTGTTAAAAAGCAAATCAGATCAATTTTCGTTTAACCCAGTGGAACACCGGAGGCTCGCCATCCCGGGAGTTTGCTTCTTTGCGCCCCGCCGCGGCGCACTGTAGACCTGGGGTTAAGTCCCATTTGTCATTTTCTCCTCCAAAGGCTTCCTCCTGGTACTTTATTTTTCTAATCCGTGGTGGATGGAGGAAGGTGGATGGCGAAACAGAGCTGAAAGCGCTTTCAGTTCTAATATTTGCGTAATCGGCCGGGTTACATTCATTTCAGCATCCAGCCCCACTTCTGGTGGCTTCCCCAGCGACCTGAGGACAATACAGACGGAGATGTGGAGGGGGAGGTGAGCGTTTATTTTATTTTATTTTGAGTGTTGCCATAATTACGGGCGCCACCCCCTGCGCCCTGAGGTCTGGCCGGCGAGCCGCTGCTGGGAGTTTTCTGCAAATACCCTCCAAAGCCTGAAGGCGGGCTTCAAACGCAGGCGCCAGGGACCATGGGAGCCTTCAAATAGCTGCGCTGGCGCAATGATACCTTAATGATAGATTTTCCGTTCTTATTTTTAGCTCCCATTCGCCTACACAGTTACACGGCATTTATCCGAGAACGTCACAGCGCCCGCCTGCTGCACCGGGAGGGCGCGCGGGCCGCCGGGCAGCCGGGGCGCTGGAACGGGGAGCGCGCACCGCCGTCTGCCGCAGAAGGCAGCGGCCTCGCTCGGGCCGGGAGCGGCGCCCAGCCCGGCCTGGCCTGTTTGCAGCGGGGATAGGCGGCCGCGTAGCCCTCAAGAGGAAGGAAGAAAGGACACCATTTTTCAGAACCTGCGGGCCCCCGCTCCTCCCCCACGGGCGACATGCACCCACCCTGGTCTGGAGCGAGGGAAGGGCCTGGGAATCAGGTAGCCCTGGGAAGGCCCAGGGAAGTCCACGGAGAGACACCCGGCTGTGGCTGAATTGGACCTGCCCCAGTCCTGGGCACGATGACGCAAGCCTGCCTTTTTTAGGTGGGGACAGTTCCGAGGGAGAGATTGACCGTGTTAACCTTACTCTTCCCTCTCGGTTCCCACGCTCCGGGCTTGGGAGCTGTCTAAGGACGCGGTGAGGCTGATTTTTCTTCCCGAATAATGAAAGCAAAGAAGGGAGATGGCTAAGCTTCTTTATTTAGTCTCGATTTTCCCAAGAAGGTCCCTATACTGTGACCACCTTTACTTCTCTTTTGCCCTCTTTATGGAAGCAGAGTTTCCAGAAGTGAGGTTCCTAATCCAGGCTCTCTTCGTGTAAACTTTTCTATTAGGAAGCCTGATACAGAGGCCAAGCAAGCGTCATGGAAGGGACACTGTTCTAAGTGCTTCAGATCTGCTAAGTTGTTTAATCCTCACACAACTCTATGGAGTAGTGTCCACCCCTCCCCCCCCCCCCCCCCCCCCCCCCCGACCCCTCATCAGCTCCATTGTACAGAAGCGGGAAACGGACGTGTGGAGGGGTTGAGTGACTTGTGCAGAGTCACTCAGCTGGAAAGTGGCAGGGGCGGGACTTGAACTCGGTAGCCTGTCCCCACTGGCTTTGTAGAGTTGAGTGGCTGGTCCCTGTGTGGCAGAGGGGGCTCCCCTTTATCCTCAAAGCAGGCAGGACCTCTCCTTGTGGGCCAGAGCCAAGATTGGGTCTGCGTGGAGGCTGCTGTGTCAGAGAGGCCTGTGGTACACGAGTTCTGAACTTGGCCTGCACATTGGAATCACTTGAAGACAGTTAACAATCACCTGGGGACCCAAAAGGCCACAGGCAGGTTATACAGTTTCATGGGTGATTTTAATGTGTAGCAAAGTTGGAGAACTGCTAATCTATGGCAGAACCAGTGATACGGTTGTTGCCCATGAATCACCTGGGATCGGGCTCAAATGCAGATTCTCATTCTGGGGCTGGGTCTAGGGCTGAGAATCTGCATTTTTAACAGGCTCCCAGGTGAGGTGGCACTGCTCGTCTGAAGACCAATCTTTGGAGGATTTCGGGCACTCAGGAGGTGGGAAGCGATGGAATTCATTCATTACTTCACTCATTCAGTTACATACACTTCATCCCACCAGTGTTCACTGAGCCCCTAGTCTGTGCCAGGGCTTAGGCTGGGCCACTGGGGACATGGTGATAAACAAAACACAGTCCCTGCTTCCTGGAGCTTAGACCAGCCCAATTGTTCCTTCTGTGTAGGGCCCTTGGCAGGAGGGAAACCGTTTTCCCCTGGGTTTGGGGAAGAGGTGTAAATCAGGAAAAGAACTGAATCCACTTCCGTGGGCCTCAACCTTGGTGCACTTAGAGCCCCTGGAAAGATTTGTTAAATATCTGTGTTCAGGCTGCACCCCAGATGGGTAAGTCAGAACCTCTGAGGGTGGGACATGGGCATCAGTACTTTGAAGGCTCCCCAGGTGATTTGAACGCACAGCCAAGGTTGAGAGCCACTGATCTGAAGCTTGGATGAAGAAAATCCCCTCTCAAACTCCTCCCTCCCCACGGCTGGCACTGAGTCGGCCAAATGGCCCCCTCTTGCTGGTTTTGGAGTTCCTGGTGGGAACTCCAGGAATTCCTGGTGGGTCGGGCCACACTGGGTGGTTGGGCTTGGCTCAAAGTATCCAGGTCAGAGAGAGGAGGGGACAGCAGCCCTGGTACTTTGATTATGTCCATCTGAGCTCCATTCATATTGCTTTCTCTCCAATCTCTTGTCAGCAGAAACCTGAGCAGAGCCTGTGAATGGGCCCTCTGGTCATTCCCCTGGTCTCCAGCCAGAGGGCCCTTGGAAGGCCCTCAGGGGAGTTGGTTAAGCAGACATCATTTACCAGGCTGGCTCCAGCTTGTGTTGGGGTGGGGGTGCCAGGAAGCAGGTAGGCATGTCTTGCCATAGCGGGCAGAGGTGGGCACGTCTAGCTATCATGTGTGTTGTCTACCAGGCCAGAGACCAACTTTTCCCCGAAGGTAGAGAAGAGGTCCATGTGAGCATCACAAAGTGCACCCGGGCTTTGCCTTGTTTCACTGCATCCTCCCAATAAGGCTTTTGGACAAGGGTTAATAACCCCGTTTCACAGATGGAGAAACTGAGGCTGGAGA